TTATTAGTAATAATATTAGTATTTTAGTTAAGTCCTGAGAATATGGCAGGATCTGATCTGGCCATTAATATGGGTGATTTAGGCATTAATATGGGAGATTTAGTTTCCTTATATTAGCACCCTTCTTATGTATATATAGTCATGTTGTATTATGTAATAATGTATAATGAGGAACACCTCTGATTATCAATCACAGATGCCATGGCACTTGTACAGCAATTTGGGAAACCAGACTTATTCCTAACAATTACATGCAACCCAAACTGGCCAGAAATAAAAGAGTCATTGCGCTGCGCAGATGAAGCTCAAAATAGGCCGGATTTGATAGCACAGATTTTCAATGGCCGAATCCATGAACTGAAAATAGATCTGTTCCAAAGAAAAATATATGGGGAGGTATCAGCTTGCACGTATGTCATAGAGTTCCAAAAAAGGGGATTGCCTCATGCCCACTTCCTCATAGTGCTGAAGAAACACAACAAAATTATTTCTCCAACTCAATGTGACAAAATCATATCCTCAGAAATACCTGACCCTGGCGAATATCCAGAACTGTATTTAAAGGTCAAGAAACATATGATTCATGGCCCATGTGGCCCCCTCAATCCAAAATGCAGTTGCATGACTCAAAAAAATCCAAATCAGCCACCGTGATGCAAAAGTAAATACCCAAAAAAATAACTGAAGAAACAAGTTTTGATGAAGATTGTTTTCCCATATACCGCAGGAGACAAACCACAAACACTGTTGATGTGAGGAACTGTTCTCTCGACAATCGTTGGGTGGTTCCCTACAGTCCATACCTACTCATGAAATATGATTGCCATGTAAATCTTGAAGTATGTGCAACTGTGAAGTCGGTGAAAAATCTGTACAAATACATATACAAAGGCCATGATAGAATTGGGTTCAACATTGAACCAAATCAGAATGAGGTCATCGACGAAATATCAAATTTTCAAAAAGGCCGATGGGTTTCACCACCGGAGGCAATGTGGAGAATTTATGGTTTCACAATGACATAGATTAAGCCATCAGTAATACATTTGCCAATCCACCTCCCAAACCACCAATACATCAGCTTCTATAAAAATCAAAGAATAAGACAAATAGTGGCCGGCGACACATCCAGCAGAACCATGCTCACCCAGTTCTTCCATATGAACGCCCATAACAGCCTTGCAAAACAATTGAAATTGCCTTATATACAATTTCCAGAATATTTTGTTTGGCACAGCCAACAAAAACAATGGGCACCGAGAAAAAGCAAAGACGTCATTGGAAGGATATCATCAGTTAACCCTACCCTGCAGAAGGAGAACGGTACTACCTGCGCATGCTACTACAACATACGCGCTGCCCAACATCCTACGAAGACCTCCTAATGGTGAACGATCAAAAGTGCACCACGTTCAGGGATGCAGCAGAGAAACATGGGTTGCTTGTACATGATGCCTGCATTGAAGAATGCATGACAGAAGCTATCTCATACCAAATGCCATCAAGTCTACGACGCCTATTTGCAACATTATTATTACATTGCGATGTTCCAAACCCAAAGAAAACATGGGAACATTTTAAAATCGACATGTGTCAAGATATCACAAAGGATCCAAGCATAAACATAGCAGACGCAGAAATAACATGCCACAAAATCATATCTGATTACTTGTACAGCATGGGAAAAAACATAGACGACTATGCCTTGGTATCATGCAAAATCAACACCTCCCAACAAGATCGAATTACACGCGAAGTTGCAGCAGAATACAATATAACAGTAAAAGATGCCGACATTGAAGCTATTGCTCTACTAAACACAGGCCAAAAAAAGGCATTTGATGAAATAATGAAAGCAGTCAACGAAAACACTGGGAAAGTCTTTTTTGTCGATGGACCTGGAGGCACAGGAAAAAGTTTCTTATACAAATGCCTCCTTGCATCGGTAAGAATGCGCAAATGGGTTGCTTTAGCAACTGCAAGCTCGGGTATTGCAGCATCTATCTTACCAGGTGGACGAACAGCACATTCTCATTTTAAGATACCCATAGATGCCCAAGACTCCATAACTTCCAACATAGGGAAACATACTGCAGAGGCAAGACTACTGAAGGAATCAAGGCTAATAATTTGGGATGAGATCACAATGGCACATAAACGATCAATTGAATGTGTGGATGAACTCTTAAAGGATATCATGGGAACAAGCAATCTATTTGGCGGCAAAGTTATTGTATTTGGAGGCGATTTAAGACAGACCTTACCCGTCGTCAAAAGAGGAACGAAAGAGGACATTATATCAGCGTCGATAATCACATCTCAAAAAATATGGACAAATGTTCACAGGATAACATTGACACAGAACATGCGGGCTAATGATGATCCTGCATTCTCTGAATTTCTCCTACGGGTTGGAAATGACACTATCCCAAATATCAACAAGAACAAAATACGCCTGCCCACTCCTTTCTTGATAAGCCCACAAAATAACAAACCTGCATTATCAAGACTAATGAATGAGGTATTCCCAGACCTGAAGAACTTCTTCACCGATCCGTATGAAAATTTGAAAAATGGCATTTTGACGCCAAAGAATCAAACTGTGGATGACATCAACTCCACCCTCATAGAAGCTTTCCCAAGAACAGCATCATGCTCTTATAGTATAGACACCCCAACAGACAACAACCACTTACATTGCGAGGACTATTTGCACTCAATCACCCCAAACGGCCTTCCACCCCACAGGTTACTCTTGAAAATTGGATGCCCCATAATGTTGTTAAGAAACTTAAACCCATCAGAAGGTCTATGTAACGGGACACGACTCATTTGCAACGAAATTCACCACCATGTAATCAGTTGCACTATAGCCATTGGTGACAAAACAGGGCAGCATGTATTCATACCTAAGATACCCCTTGAGATATCTTCTGACGATGATTGTCCAATTGCATTTAAGAGATTTCAATTCCCAGTTAAACTATGCTTTGCCATGACCATAAACAAAGCACAAGGACAAACAATGCACAACGTAGGCATCTACTTAAAAGAACCTGTTTTCAGCCATGGCCAACTTTATGTCGCATTATCAAGAGCACAAAAAGGTTCAAACGTGAGGATCCTCATTTGCGATGAAGAGCAGCAGGACAAATTTACTTCAACAACAAACAACATAGTATACAACGAAATCCTCCAACACATTGACATAAACGGTAACAAGATGCACATGCGCCATTGAATGATTTGTTTTCTTTTGTCCAGACCTACTATACATTGTTTTTATTTCATTCATTTCCAGAAGGTTGCCCCAAGGCTGTGCCAGACCAACAACCTCACAGGTGTTATTTCGAAACATGTTGTTGGACAAGTTTGCAGTGAAGGAGATGTAACAAACAAGAATGTTAATCGTCGGACAGTTAAATCCTTCATGCTAGAATTCCAGGATTCCAGGTTTGGCCATATGGTTTTGGGCTTGTGTTTAAATAGAACGTCATTGCTTAATAACGCTTGGTGTATTGTGACGTTATTTGACCCGGGATATTCACTACATGGAAGTTCAAGATTAAAGGTAATTCAAGACTTAAATTTGTTGCAAGTTTAACAATATTTTTTACATAAACATTATCAGACTCCCCTATGATATTCATAAGATATCCATTATCTTTTTTAAAGTGGCCTTTTCAGTATTGTGAAAAACCATTGCCCTCAATCAATGACTTCATTAATGCTTTTGGAGATTTCACTTGCAACATACCTGGAAACTCATTCTACGTATCATAATCTTGGAGATTTAGTTGTAGTATAAAATGTGCAGTATTGACTAAATAATAAGAGTCGGAGGTAGGTATTCTATTCATAATTTCTGGTCGAACGGCTGAAAAATATGTATTTATGCTCTTCAACTCATTCTTTTCCTGGTTTCATTTCAAAATGACTTCATTTCACTGCTAAGCTCAACCAGATTATATGATCATCTTAGTTTTCAAATATATGGTCCTAAAGTACTTTAGATGCATGTAGTTACTTTTCATATAGGGCGATTTGCTTTTGTACTACTTGCTAAAAATTATGTTATTATAACTGCAGGAATGGTCAGAATGTTTCATATTCAATAAGACGTGACGTAAGGAATATTAACACCACGGCCTACTCTTTCCCGGGAATTCGATCAGACCAGGTTACTCTTAAATGCGACCCTTCATTCCAACACTTTGCTTCAAAGGTTTCTCTGTTTCCTTCTTTTAATGTGCCTAAAGCACAATACAATCCTATTTTTGGTACTACTCCTACTGCCCCTGCACATATATCATTTTAATCTTGTGAAACTTCTATACCCAAAGGTGATATTCAACTTCATGCATAGATAAAATCATCAATAGTAATCTAAAAATGTTCACTACTTATTATTGGGTTCGGGTTGACCCAACAAGTTATGACTTTGGATTTAAAAATTTCAGGTTACTTCGGTTTTGGGAAACTGCAGGTTCGGGTCAATTTAATTTCACATTGAGAATTGTATGTTCATGACCATTATCATTCATTTTGGGTCGACCCAACGCGTAATGACTTTGGTTTTTAAAAAATTAACTTCATATTAAGACTTGCATTTTTCTTTACGTAAAATTAAAATATAAAAAAAAATGTACTATATATATTATATTATTTTATTTTAAATTATGAACTAATTTTACCTCTTAGCTCTATGTAATTTGAAGCTCCGAACAGTTGAAATACAATGTAAGACAATGCTGTTATAACTTCATCGCACACATCCCCCATGTGAAACTTGGAACAAAACAGATCAAACCCACACACACACACACACATACATACATATAATGTTTTTGTAGACTAAAACATTTAATTGTTGGAACAGTCTCACTACGATCCTTATGAAGTTTTTCATGATCTTAACCAAAAGGTCAAGAAAGGTAGTAGAATATAAATTTTTTCGTACATCAGTTCCATCCCATTAAACTTTAAACACAACACAATAACAAAACAATATTACATATATACTTGGGTGGAGAATTAATTTCACAATATTGACCTTGGTAAGAGTTTTTTCAATTTATTAACCTTTTTCATGTCCTATTTGATTACAGGGTTCATTAAGACAAATAGTTTCAACCAGATTGGGACAAATAAATTACGCCAGAAGAAAATCAGACAGAACAAAATCAGATACAACCAAGTATATTGCTTTTCCTATTTTTGTCGGATATATCCTAACAAAAGTTTGCTTACTATGAAGTGCTGTACTCTAATCAATTCCATACTATTACAAATAGGTGCTTAACACCATGTGAGATTCAGATTCCACTAAACCGGCTATATTTCCCATGTCAAACCCCACAAACAATGGTTGGTCTCTATTCTTAAACACTGTTAATGTCATATTCGCTTCTTACTTTGGGGATTGGACCTGATTTTGGGTTAGGTTCTAGGTTGACTTTTAACTTTAAATTGGTCCAATGGAGTGTACGGGTACACTCCATTGGATTTAAATTTTCGGGTCACACTCTAGGTCGGGTTTTGAAAGACTAAATCATACTCAAACTTGGTTCTTATTTATAATATATTATGTCTTCTTTTCCATGACTTGCCTCGAGAACTATTATAATTTGTAATCTAATATATCAACTTCTCTTATCTTGCTTTCAGGCATTTCAATTATGCAAAAACAATCAATCCCTTGACATACATGTGCAACAACATTGCCAAGTAAGTCATTACTTAATTCTAACATTAGAATGTTAAAGTACAAGTTTTGGGTGTCTTAAAAGTCCCAACAACTTGATACACTATCACACCTTAAAACTCTTTATCAACCCAAGACAAAAAAACCCACTATTTCACAATACTTTGCAGACTGTGCCTGCATCACTTTCCCTCTCATGAATGGCTTATTCCTCATAAGTTGGACTTGTTTATTTCTCATTTAATTTGTACTAAATGAACATTAATACTCCATTTCCATGCAATCGCCAAAAACTTTTCCACTAAAAATCAACCAACTATTCCATCACTCATGCTTGTGTATTTAATACAAAGTTCCTACCACTCATGCTTGTGTATTTAATATTGTCATGTCAGAATCTTGAGGTGAGCACACTGGTCAAAGTAACGACACTTGATAACTTCAAGTTCATGCAGTGGAAGAACCACTTCATCAAATCTATAAAAAGCGCAGCAGCTACACTCTGTAAATTCTTTGTATGGTTGATTGATGGTGACAATGATTCTTTAATATTGACCCTAATATGATCTATCACTACAAGAAAACTGCCGATCTGCAACGGACAAATTTCGTGGCAGATTTTGAAATTCCGTGGCAGATTTCCATTCTGCAACGGATCTGCTACGAAATTTTTCCGTCGTAGAAAAGTTGTGGCAGATTTAAAATCTGCGACAGAATTTAAATTTCGTGACAGATCTGCGACGGACCTGCAACAGAATTTCCCTTTTTTCATCGGATGTAATCTGCGACGGAAATTAGGAACCGTTGCTGATCTGCGACGGAATTAGCAACGGACTCCTCCGTCGCAGATCTAAGACAGAAACAGCAACAGATGGTTCCGTCGCAGATATCTGGATGATGAACCTGAATTTTTCTGTTTTTAGGCATTAGATACTAAAATGGGAGGCAAAACACATTCAATTTTCACACACATTGATAATTCAAAGCTAGATTAATGAAAACTTCACGTGCAAATGTAACATAATTCATTATATTCTAATAATGAATACTCCCTCCGTCCACCTAAGATCTTCCCATTGTGCGTTACGAGACTTGACCGACTTTATTTTCAATTCAATTTATTTGAATATATGGATAAAATTTTAATATAAAGTCTATATAGTAATAAACTACATGAAAAATTCTATAAAACTAGAGGTGACAACATTATATTATTTTATGAAATGAGCAGTAAAAATAAACAAACAAATTGAATTAAGTTTGACCCTGTGAATAGTGTCTGAGAAGATCTATGGTGGACAGAGGGAGTATTAAAGTGTTAGTGTCAAGCGTTTAAAATGGAGGAAGCTAAGGACGTAAAGGTCTCAACAAATCTCGGGCTGTCTTGCACCTCCTGTTCCATCATCATCGCCTCATCGAGAAAGGATACCACCATATAGCTTCTTTATCTCCTCTTGAATCGTCAGTGACAAGCTCGAGGTTAGATTATCACGGCCCACGACTAGCGAATACCATATTTCTTGGTCGGTGACTTGCAGCCCTTTCTATGTAGCCTCCTCGCGCAGTTCGAAGAATTGAACCTGAAATATATGATAGTTAATAACACACAACAATAACACAATAATAGTAGCATCAAGAACAGCAAGAAAAACAACAACAAGAAGAACAACAACAAGAAGAACAACAACACAAGAACTTAAGAACTAACATTACCATGGATCGATAACAACGTAACATATACCTAGTGTTTACAGCACCATCAACGCAACAACAAAAGCAAGTTGCCAAAGGACAACAACACCATCAACGCCACCTATGTCCTCGTGATCTTCAGTACTCTTCCTGCCACCTCATTCAACCACAAACAACAATCATTTAACTACAGATATCAACCTATAATGTACTCAATTTCACAAAATTGAACTAAATTTTACCTAAATTCTCATTAAATGTTAAATTAACAAACACAATTTCAACAATAAAATTACACCATAAATGCTATCAATTTCACGAAAAACTAATACAACTTTTACCCAATTTCATGTCAATTTCAACTCATATTCACACAATCTCAACAAAATTTCACAAAAAATGCACTCAATTTCAGACAAACAAATTCAATTTCACCAAAAATTACAATAATAATAAATTATATAATATAAAACAAAAATACCTTTTCTTGAAATTCACGGTAAAGAGGACCAGCGGGGAAGACTAGCGGTTGAGTGGCGGCGGCGGCAAGTGGTGGCGAGGGAACTCGGTCGAGGGCGGCGGCGGCTGACGGTTGGGGGATCTAGCGTGGCGTGGACGGCTGACGGTTGGGGGCGTCGAGGGCTGGCGCGGCTGGACGGCTGACGGTCG